ATTGGTTGGTTATAATTTTCAATTGAGACGTTTAAAAAAAATTACATGCTTAGTGTAAAAAGAATGGTTTTTTTTTATGAAATCGATACCTTCAATAAACACTATGCGAACTTTATATTTTGGTCAGTTTCAGGTATTTTTGTAAACGGCCATGTTTATTTACTAATATTATACTCCCTTAACTTTGTGAGGAAAAAAATAAAGAAACAAAACACAATATTCGAAAAAAAAACAAAAAAACGAATTTTGTGAAGAAAAAAAAACAAACAAACAAAAATCAAAATAAAAACAGAACAGGTTTAAAAATTAACTGGGCGTAGTATTCATTGGAGGTATCGACATATAGTGATAAACATAACATTAATAAGAGCAATAAAAATAAACTGGCTGGTAGTCGTTTTCATAACGTCACAAATTTATTTAAGGGGCATTGTATACGCTTCTGCAATACAATTCCGGGCGATATTCGAAATTTGCCACTTCGAGGTTTTATTGATACAAAGACTACACTGAAGTACATTATTATACAGCTTCTGTGTACTTGGATAACAAAAAATCATGATAGTGTGCAATCATGATAGCAAGTAAGACCCATTTAGCTCTTGCTTGCTTTGAAATAAATATCGTAATTGTTTAAATAATGTGCACAAATGTTTATTTACAAAGAGCGAACCCTAAAGTTTCTTACTCATTCTTAGGGAAAACTGCCTTACGAATGAGTAGTAGAGTTTCATCAATGTGACGTTTTCAAGTGTAGTTTGATTACTTATGAAACAATAATAATAACGACTCATCCGAAAAACAGAGTCCGATGTGATTATACAGCGAAAAGACGATACATACATAACGTTGTTATTCAAACTGAGGCCTATCTATCTGTGTATACAGTTTTTTTATATGTTATTTCTTTTCGGAGATATAAAATAGAACAACGGTCGATCTCATGTCCACAGCTAAGAACAACGATAGAAATGTACAGTGACCCGAGAATAAGCAGTCTTGTACTTAGGTCTCTGCGGATGAGTCGATAATAACGCATACAGTCATAGCCCCGCACCAAGGAAACCCTGTTTCACGGGTGCCATGGAGACACACATAGACAACCACATTTTACACCCAAACTCACGAAAGAAATAAATGTAGGCCATACAAATATTTCTCCCGGCCTGGGCATCGAACCCGAGACCTCTGGCGTGGCAGTCCAGCGTGGTAACGTTTAATGAAGATTGTTCGAGTTTTAATTTATTTTTATCATGATAACCGTTATTTTAATTTAGATATAAAAAGCTAAGTTATTTTATGATACCAAGTGAAAGGGCGAACAAATCGTACGCATGGTGTTAAGTGATAAGCCTGTCCATAACAGTTGCAGTACCACTCAGGACTTTAAATCACAAATATCACCCAAAGACATAAATTGACAAGTCTCATGTATGTAATATGTCAGGTGAGATCTTTATGTTTGGTTTTTAACGACTTTTTGCCGTGGCGCCATCTATGAAATATCTATAATAATTTCGAATGAAATTTTCTGTGTGCTCGAATTTTGTATGATTAATTATAACGATTTTCCGTATTCAGTCAATTCACAAATATACAAAAACAATTCACAAAATCCTGACACTTTAGAAACATCCATTTTAATCAGACTCCATGAATATGCAGCTAAGCTTATTTATTAGTCGGCACATTCGAGACAATTGAGGTGCGGGCTGCAGTTTTATTCGATTATCTACTGTCATATAGGGATTCTGCTTTATTCGCTTGTAGTGTTTATACTATAGATAACACGTTCTAGCAGACAGTTTCTATAACATGGTTAACTATTATTATATATAACAGCAGTAGAGCTCCTTGCGAAGAAGTTCGTCCAGGGAATTACTGCCACCTTACCTACTTTTCATTCCTGCCACCAAGTAGTATTGTAATGTAAATGTAATCATTATTCCATTCCGGGTTTGAAGGGAAAGGGTGTTGGTTAAATTACGGGCACATGGGACTTGTTATGTTTCAGAGTGTCGGGCGCAGTGGCAGTGATCCTAAGATCTTTGCGATTTAAAGCTCTGAGTGGCACTGCAACTGTAATGGATAGGCGTGTCGCTTATCACCAGGCACGACTTGGTCGCCCCGTCACTTGGTATTATAAAAAAAAAACTTAAATTTGGTAGGAAACAAAATAATATGCAACAGGGAATATTTGGAAACTAAAAGGTGTGGTGTTGCAGATGATATGCTTGATAAGCTGCTAGGATAAGCTGGTCAGAATAAATAACTTTGGAGCACTAGGAAGAGTAAAAGACAGCAGAAAAATCATACAGTCTATTGAAAATCTGAGATACTTTATGATAGCGTGTTTGAAATCTGAGTGACGGTAAAGTGGAGGGCGGGCAGACGTAAGCGAAGATAAACGTGAATAATAATAGTATAATAATCTGCCACACAATTACGCCAATAACGTGGTCTCAAACTAGTAAATTCCTTGTACTATTAAAACCATAGCAACGGAATTCACTCTTGAACACAACACGAAACACCCATTCCAGATCCAATTTGGAAAAGTTCATTTCCCTAACCACAAACCTAGTTTCAAACCGTGGACTCACCGAGGTCGAGTGAGATTGAGAAGACAATTTTGACCGGATAAAAAGAAAAAAGTGATTGCCGTATCGTACATGGTTTTTTTTTGTTATAACGACAAGTGACGGAACGAACAGGTCGTGCGCCTGATGGTAAGCTATACGCCTATCCATAACAGTTACAGTGCCACTCAGAGCTTCAAATTGCAAATATCTGAGGGGCACTACCACTGCGCCCGTCACCCTGAGACATAGTTGACAAGTCCCATATACCTGTAATTTCACCAACATCCTAACCCTTGAAAACCGGAACAGAGTAATGCTGACATTACTGCTTAGCAGCAGAAATAGATAAGGTGGCAGTACTACCCCGGACAAAACTCTTTGACAAGGAACTCTACTGCTACTTACTAAAAGGGTTTAGAAAAAGTTCTTTAAAGGGCAGAAGGGAGTTTACTACTAGGACGTTAGCTAGCTTTCAAGTTTATAATGATGAAGGTAATAAAAGTAAACTTATTATCAGTATAACACGAGCGAATTTTAATATTATATTTAGTAAAACAAACGTAGAAATACGAGGTTTTAAAAACTTTTTTTGTCACTGTGACGTGATGAACAAGTCTCGCCTAATGGTAAGCTATATGCCTGTCCATAATAGTTGCAGTGCCACTCAGAGCTTTAAACATCAAAGATCTGATCTGTCCCATGCCAAGTGTCTCATGAGACATAAGTTGACAAGTCCCATATGCCTGTAATTTCACCAGCACCCTTACCCTTCAAAACCGGAACACAGTAATGTTGACATTACTGCTTGGCGGGAGAAATAGGTATGGTGTCACTACTTCCCTGGACGACCTCTTTTACAGGGACCTCTACTGCTACTGAAACTGCTACTTTCTTTGTCTTGATCGATATTTCAAAGCTTGTCTAGCAAAAACACCTTTTCTGGTTTTGCGGTCTTACGTATGGTCCCCATGATTAGCAGCCGAAAGCATATAAATTTGAACGTAACAGAGACATTTTGACAGAAAGTTCATGTCAAATCACCACCTAAACCGACCGACAAAATAAACCATACAGTCATCCATAGTTGACCTGTAACTAGAGCAGTGTAAAGTCAAGCCCTCTAAGCATAACAGGCCCTCGACTGGCACACTCGGAGTGTGCTTAATTGATTGCAACTGTACTCTCGCGACTTGTAGCTCTGATTTGTTACTGTCCAAATGAGTTGCGTGGTTGCTGTTGTGATTTGGTATCGCTTTAAGGAATTATAGACCCTTCGCATAGCATTTGAATGCATTACATTGAGAATAGGTAAAAGCCAGTCTGTGAATATGAAGGAAATGTAATGTGAAATCAGCCAGCAAAATTTGTATATACAATCCATTTTTCAGCAACTAACGAAATGCTACTTAGTTTACAAAACATTGCTTGCTTAAACCATGAAAAAACACATGATTCTGATGAAACCTGCACGTGGGAGTTGGAGTTGGTTTGCAAAAGTTTACCACGAGGTGCAAAGTCCCCAAACGTTATTGGGGCAGTATGGTCCCTCTTCGGACTACAAAATTATACGAGTAATTGCTCGTATAATACTTAATGGATAAAAGATCTAGGTCTTGATTTGCCGATATTTAGTGACGCAGAATTCTTTTTTCTTTTAACTCACACTCACGGTGTCTATAGTTGTATATCTCTCAGGGCTTTCTTCATTTTTCTCTTAAGACATTAGACTCCGTGTCGACCATTTTTTTACTCCTTTTCACTACCTACAAATTTGCTTTACATATTTCCTTTCACCTTGAAAGCAAGTGATTCAGCCAATTTCTACGAATTGTTCGTAGATATTTTTCTGCGTAAGTTATGAAAGCTTTTGTCCGCTTTTTCATCTTTGTTAGTGTTAAAAGAATTTTATTGCGAATATTTACATTTATAACAGCGAGATTATTGGTAACGCATGTGATAAAATGTTTGATAACACAACTCAAATCTATACCAAAAATATATCACAAATTCACAGTAGGTACATTGCTAAACTGTATATAGCATGTATCTATATGTACATAATGTGGATTCGAAATATTTTAAACACTTTTGTTTAAAAGTTTAACACCTATATGCGGTTCATATGCAACGACTGTAAAGGTTACATCGTGTTAAGTTGCTGCTCTTGTGTTGAATGTTAGCTAACACGGACTTCCGTCTCTCATATTCATTACTATACGTAAAAGGAGTTTCTTTATATTAAGTAGTTTTAAAATCAAAACAGTCAGGCTTCTCCAATGGTCTAAAACATAATCTCCCAAAGTGATCCCTACCGCCCAGTGGGCGCTGAAGGGAGTTGATGCTGTTCAGTGGGTCCTACCGCATTAGAATAAAAAACTGAATTATCTATACATATTGTAGTGTTATCATGTTACTCACAGTTCATCCTACATGTGTTCTCTGTTGCCGGATCCACTGAAAATCAGCGTCGTAGCACTTCCAGTGAGACGACACCAAGCTGAGTGGATGGCGGATTCCGTAACAGCACAGCACGCACTTTTTATGGCTTGTTACTTGTTTATTTGTTACAATATTAATATTTCTTATTTGTGTAATATGTGCACGTGTAATATTTAAATGTTATGCTTTAGTCTTTCTTTCCGTCTTATGTTATGTATCGTACAATTTAATTATATGTGTACTGTGTTGTTTTCGTGAATAAACAATTTCTATTCTATTCTATTCTACATATTCACATCCATTTTTGTGGCGGTGGGCAAGCTTCATTGTCTCTTATCACCATTTTGGTCATCTACATCCATTGGTTTTCTGGTTACGAGCTCTCAAAATCTATTGCTTGACATACCTCATCTTCAATCGCCCTTTTTACTATCTTCTATACACATCACAGATTTCGGCGCTATAACTTGTTCGATATCACACACTTTTTCCAACTCTTGTTTACTTTTCTCCATTAATTACTTAAATTCGAACTCTAAATTAAATTTTTCACATTTTTGATATATTTTGATGTTTGTTATTCCGTTACTATGGCGATTTTTCTTTCGGACATGGCCCTATTGAGATTTTCTGAATTAAATCTTTCGCTAATAGCCTCATTTCGACCTGGCGCCATATTATTCATTGATCTGAAATTGGAACTTTTGAAATTTACCCAAATTGATGAATCTATGAAAGCTCATCACGCGCCTAAGAGCGAACAGTCTTGGATCAGAAGTGACAGCGGAAATACTAACTGTATTACTATGCACAAACCGAATCTTCCGCAAGAGCTCTCCTAGAAGATGAAATTAACGTACAAACTTATCTGTACCCTTCGGCCCGTCTACCGCTGCCTCTGCGAACCTCATCCTACGCATCCTATCACTGCAAAACTCGGCGCTGCGCGCCTGTACTTGGCTTCTTGGCTTATCTTTGTTTTCATTTCATCCATTATTTTTGTCGCTACACGACAATATAAGCTAGACTGCAAATATGTACTTACAATTTTTTTCCTTTTGATTTTTTGTGATACGTTAATATAAGAAATACGTGTTAAGTCTAAAAGTTTCAGAACCTATTGTCTAAAAGGAAAATTGTTAAACGGTAGAGGCGTTATTCCGAGACAATGGCACAGTCGACCGGGGTCACGGACGCAGGTTCAAGAACAAAGTGTGTTATGCGTATTAGCTCTGTATTATAGGCGCCTTGTCGTCGAGTTGCGGACACCAGCCCGTTACACCAAGTACCAAGTACCAAGTAGCTCTGTATTACCATTAACCTTGCGGTAGTAACTGATATTATTATTTACAACATTTTCACCGACAATAAAAACTAAGAAGTCAACAAACTGTGTTGGTTCACACAACTTCCATCGCTACTTTTTAAACCAATTTCGATCTACAACCGACGAGGTGACAAAAACACCATATACAATGAGAAATGTCACGCGTTACTGATTTTTCGAAAGTTCATTGAACGAATTCCTGACGCCCTCCAATAACTTAGACTTTTATTTTCTTGCCTTTTATCTATAGATAGATAAAGTAAAACGTACGTTAACAACATCATTAAAATTAAATAATATACACTAAAATAGATTTTGCGAGGTGTACATTTTTGGCGAATTTCTTTATTTGGTCTATATGACAACGCTGGCCACCTTGGATTCTTTTTTTTGCATTTATTGTCACATGTACATAGTCAGGTGTTACAAATGTCTTACATTACGACTGGAGTGTCGTACATGACCCTGAATAGGGCAGTGCAAGTCAAGATATTCAATACAACATAAGAAAATATCATAATTCAATAGACAAAAGTGTCAAGAGGCATATTGGTGACTCGAAATTAGTAGAGGCGAAGCTGCAGAGCCTTGAACATCGCCGTAGAGTTGCCTGCTTATCGGTATTCTACAGGGTATATCACGGAGAGTGTGCGATGGAATTGCATAATTTGATTCCGCCTTCCCCTTTCCATTATCGGGGGACTAGACGTTGACTGGGGTTCCACCTCTATGTTGGGGACTTGTCCCCCGAACGCTATAACTTGGACCTTTTCAAGATGACAGTGAATAGGCATTATTTAGGTTTGCATGCTACATCGTCGACCTCATCGTCACTTTCCATCAGGTGAGGTGAAGTCAAATGCTCACTTTTTATAAAAAAAAGAAACCCAAAAGATCTTCCTCTAACGTAATAGGATCATATGTTGAAAAACTGTAATTGTGTTTATTGTACAAACTATAAAAAGATTATGTACTTGTAATATCAAGTTGGTCTTACGAACGGAATATAAGATCTAGCTATATGTATAACTACGTACAATACTTACGTAGAAAGCAAAGAAGTAATTGGGATAATGCAGTTTCAAAATATCGCTGTCTCTTTCAAACTTTAACAATTAACGAGATTGAGAGACAAAGAGAAATTGCGAAGTCAGAAATAATTTTTTTGTGTTGTATGCTTTGCTCTTCTCGGTATAACGCCCTTTAAGATTTACTGCCATAAGCTCTTTCCTGGACATCCTTGTGCGTTCCAACTTTACCTTCCCTTTTATTTGGTCTATGTAACTTGTTCCCCGCATTCGCTTTCCTTGTTCAATCTTCGCCATTTCCAGTAAATGATGTAGATGATTATGTAAAAGCGTGTAGTATACAATTGTATATAAAATTGTAACGTATCATTATACTATAGAATATTAATAATGATAGGCACAAACAGTAATTAAAATTTATACAAACGCTAAATAATAAAAATAAGGCATTTATTTCTCCACAAAACATAAGAAACAATACTTAAAAAGGAATAGAAAAAAACAATTGAATCCTTTTTGTCCACATCACTCAATTGTATATTGCGTATATGATATATGATGTTTGATATATGATATTATATGCTATTTCAATTGTTGAATTCGACATTTGTTCATTTATTGAACATACTATTCGTTACTGCCGGCTTGTCGAGCTCCGGGTATGTCCGACCACACCCGCAGGCCGAGGCTACACAGCTCGTTAAATATATTGTAAGGCTACTCTTTTCCTTCTTAAAGTACGTCGCATTTCTAATTTTTCTCGCAACGCGAAACTGACACAGCATGTTTTAATAAAAAATAAAATAAAAATTAACTCCAGCTGACGCTAACCCTAGCGTGAGCCCGAAGACAAAAGTTATCTGTTCTTCGAACTCTTGAAAATTGACAGTTCGAAGAAGAGATAACTTTTATCTTCGGACTCATGCTAAGCCTGCTGGCTACATAGTTCTGGCAATTTTTACTCTTAAAGAGCTAGAATACAAAAATATTAATTATCAGTGAAGAAAAATTTTTCCCCGAGATTAATAAATTCATATTTTGAAGGACATATATGGAGGAGACGGTTATTGTATAAGTTAATGCATTTAATACTGAAAATTCTATTTCATAATTTCGCTCACTTCAAAATACGCTTGTTTTAGTAGTAATAGAGGTAGCTTCTGAAAAAGTTCGTCCAGGGAAGTACTGCGACTTTACCTATTTCTGCCGCCAAGCAGTAATATGACCATTGGGAAGGGTGCTGGTGAAATTACAGGCACATGGGATTTGTCAACTTATGTCTCATGGTGATGGGCGCAGTGGCAGTGCCCTTCAAGATCATTGCTAATTAAAGCTCTGAGTGGCACTGCAACCGTTATGGAGAGGCGTGTCGGCTACCACCAAGCCCACGACTTGTTCGTCCAGTCACTAGGTATAATAAAAAAAATACGTATATTTCAAATTAAAACAAAACAGTGGGATCCTAAACGATTCATAATTGACACAAAAAATAGCTCAAATTAAAAAAAAAGTCATATACCATTCCTATTTCTAATTCATAGAGTTTTAAGTGATTACCTGAAATAAAATCAATATGTTATCATTTATACGTTATTGGTACGTAATGGTAGGCTTAATTGTTGAAAGAGTGATTCATATTATTTATTCTATTCGTTATGTTTTACATCAACTCAATCCTTAAAGACGACCCGTGCACGGTGGCGTAACATATAGTGACGATGCTGACCTCCATCATCGTCATCCCACCCTTTTATTAGGTTAGTAATGATAGGCACAAATTCAATTTTAAAATTTTGAATTCCCTTATTCTTCACTATATATTAATGTTCTTCGATTCGTCCTCACTTCCATCAAAATTCTTGAAACTAGTGGTCGTGCTCATAAATCACAAATCACCTATGTTTCCTTATTTTTCAACTTCACGTCGATTACTATTAAAATTATATATATAATAATAATTTTATAGACTATTTTGGAGTGAGTATTGTGTATAGTGTTATTTAGTTTTATAGCAGTGTTTTATCATAATTATATTTTTGTAGGAAATGAAACTATTTTTCCGGATTTAAATCGCGTGTATTTGTTTTTTCAAACAAACCGACGTTTCGGGCCCTTTACATGTCACATGGTCACGGTTGAAAAAACAAATATACGCGATTTAAATCCGGAAAAAGTAGTTTCATTTCCTATGTGTAACAATCGCGAAAACCTAAGAACTCGATATATATTTTTGCATATAATTTTATTATTTCTTACCTTTTCCTCTTTCATCATCTCTTACAGTAAATCTTGTGGAGCGCGCCTTCTGCATTCTCATTTGTCTAAGACTAGGCCGCAATATATAAATGAAAACGTACAACTAAAGTTAGGTAATAGGCCTCATCCTGAGAATAGGTAGGCTTAGGCAGTTTTCTTTATTTATTTTATTACATACGTGCTCACGTTTGTCCACAATCCCACCTAATGGGGAGTCACAATATGGTCCATTACCTCTCCACGTCTCCTCAGATCCAATGCAGGGCTGTGTCTCAAATTTATGACACATGTCTTCTACCTTTCTAAACCTATCTATAAGTCTTCCCGATTATTTCATTTTATTATTATTTATTTATTTATAAACCTAAAATCTAAACTTACAGTAATAACCAATACGCTTACATGCTAATTACTTATACTACATACATATTTGATATGCTAGGTTTGCTTTACAAATTAGTTTGTCATATTGTCGTAAGAGATGTCGGCATCCTGGACTTCAACAACCCGACA